TCAGCACAGTTCTTTTCTCAGCCATTTAAAGAAATCATAATCTAACACATACCTAGCTAGATTACTTACTAAAAGTTCTAAGACTCCATTCCTGGTCTATCCCCGGCCAAGACAGACTGTAGACAGACACACAGACCCTTTGTTTCTCTCCCTCCTCCCAACTTTTGAAAGTATCTTGTCTCCTCATTGGTCATTTTGGTCAGGTGCCAGCGAGGTTACCTTTAGCTTCTTAACCCTTTACAGGTGAGAGGAGCTTTCCCCTGGCCAGGAGGGATTTCAAAGGGGTTTACCCTTCCCTTTATATTTATGACTATGTTCATACATCTTAAGCATCTAAATAAGAATATAAACCTTTGTCCAAATTCCGAATGCCACATATATGTTACAGTTTACCTGATTGATGTATAGAACAAAAATTAAAGAGAGAATTATAACAGTAAAAAAACAAGTAAAGAAACTTTTTGCCCCAGATTGTTGGTATAACTCTGAGACATTAACCCTGTTTTTCAGAATTAGGTTCTGAGATGTTGGGCAATATTCTATATAATTGGTCAATACTGTGTTTAATTTGTTATGCTATTCTAAATTACAAAAAACTGCTATTAGCTGATGAATTTATTTTTGAAATAGAAGAGAAGGTGGGAGTAACACACAAGGAAATTCCTGCTTCAATGGCTAACCTTATGCAGATTAATGATTCACTTCAGCACAATCTGAATAATATTAGTGTAGCGAATTATCCTGTACAATAGGATACACTTTCCTATATCTTCTGAGCCATTCTTCAGAAGAGACAGTGCTATAACATATGGAAATGTGTTTCTCAATGTGTGTTTTGAAGACTTTGCTGCTGAGATAATTAGCAATGAAAATGAGACCCAAGACTCATTTTGTATCTCATCATGAGGCCCATTCTGTCCATAATTTGGGAAAGGCTCAGAGGACTATTTAGAGTATTCCCCTACTAATTATGTTATAGTCACATGAATGAAGTAACTGGGAACAGTTCCAGCTGTACAGTGGCTGCTGTGCTAATTGGCTGCTATACGCCACTAGGCAGTTTGGTACTGCTCTGCTCTTTTTTCACATTCAGATTGGCAAACTTTGATTACCTGTTGTACTCCATTGGACTTGTGTAAAAAGAGATATGCTCTAAGATTGAGCTATTATGATATCATTTACACGTATCAGCCTACTTTTGATCCAATCAAAAAGCAAAACAGAAAGATTTATTTCATGAAATACCCTATGGGAACAAGCTCATTTTACTAAGAATTTTGACTCCAGCTAGCAGAACTGGTTCACTTTTTGTGTCATTGTGAAATAAACATGGTGACAATGTGACATAAGTGCAGTAAAGCTCAAAGATACTTTAGATTTTATCTGTATTAGAGCACTCAGTCGCTGAGTTCCAGTTGGTTGTATTGTGCTAACTGAAGCACCATTGACAAGTTTGTCCACTAAGGTAAGGTTGCACCCACACCAGGAGAGCCTTACACTAATTCAGGTGGAGTGGCCGTCATCTTTGACAAAGATGACAGCTCCCTGAACTAGAAAACCTCCTTTATTCACTGGCTGAGAGTTCCCTCTCAGCTACCCATCTTGTCACACCCCACCAGTCCCCTACAGTACCCCCCTCAAAATCTTCCCCAGTCCTGTCTCTTGCCATTCACCCCACATTATGCACTGAAAATTCCCTGGCTACTGTGGTTCTTCCATCGAGACAGTTATAATGTAACTTGCTTGCCTCCCCAACAATCAGACGAAGCGCTTTCGTGTGTGTATGGGTAAGGGTACTCTTCAATCATTTTGAGGGGGTGGGAAATCTTGTAACTTCTCTAATATAGACAAGGCCTAGGAATGATTGAAAAATCATTCAGCCACCCCATTATCCCTATTCCATTTTTTGTTGTTAGCATGTTTGGAATCTGTACCAAAGCGAGGAATTTACCACCATAAGGGTGTTATTTTCAGCTGGTGTTGATCAATGGAGCTTTATTGACTTACAGCAACTGAGGGATCTGACACTGAACATTTACATTTTAATGGTGCCTATTGTAGCATTACCAGCCTGCCCAAAAGAAACTGTTTCTCCCTGAACTCCTACTGATGTGCAGTTCCACAACTCTCTCAATGCATGTTTGTGTCTAAATGGGACCATTTAGTCCATACTCTTTTGTGGGGATCAAAAAATTCATTTAGTTCCCAAGTTTGGCTTTCCTATTCTATTGCATGGCCCAGACTGAAGGAATAATCTTGTTTTATTACAAAGACACCCTCTTTGGGGTCAGCTAATGAATGGAGACATGAATTAGAAAAATGGAATGTGATTCATAACTCTATGGAATGTAAATAATTTGGCATAATTTCAAAAGCTACTTTTGGAATTCTCAAATCAAAGGCAAGACAGAGACAATGCTCTGGGTCAGCTGAAAACTCTAACTAGTGTGTGTTTAAAAATGAATCTTTATGTACTACACTCTAAAGTGTTTTCTTAAGTTGAGAAAAAAAATTCCATGAGCTGCAGCATCTCAACTGTTTATTTTCTTTCCCTTTATATTTTCTTTAAAACTTTATTGCATTTTTCTTAACACAAATAAACAAAAATAAACAAAACCAAAAGATATGTAATCAACTGATAATTCATCCATAATGTACAATATCTCAATAGACTACAAAAGAAAGGAATTAGGATAAGTCTTCTGCAGTTACACAGGATCCTTATTCAAGTATGGTTCCAATCTGGAGTGACTATAAAAATGGAACCTTCATACTCAACAAGTCTGCTTACTTTAGTTGTAAAAGCAGCCTTTTACTTTCCTTTATTCTCGTGAGCCCTGCAGAGCCCAACACAACTGAGAGCGTAAAGTGAACACTGGCAGCAGGTTTTGCAGCGACGAGAACATCTATTTGAGCAATGATGATATTGGAGCTTGATAGTATTCAACAGTAGAAAATACTCCTCGTCCATCTCTGTTTTTCAGTGAATACTCTAGGGTTGTCAGACCAAACACTGCTCCTCCCATTTGTTATCATGTATTTCAGTGCGATTGCACAGATTTCAGCCATTCTGCTGTTGTCCTAATATCTGAGCTTCGAGTATAAACTCAAATACTAAAGTATTTATTAGGAATATATCATAGTGAGATCTCTGGACTGGATGTTTTGAGCCAAAAAAGTTTACATGGCTGGACTAGATCAGACATATTAGTGTAATATGAAATTATTTAGTTCAATGGAGCCACTACCCATGCAAAAAAATCCAAAATAACTTTCTGTACAAATATATCAGAAACAGTCTCCTAGACAATGCAGTTTTTTCTCAACAATTACAATACAATGTTTTAAAAAAAATTATTGAGCTCTCCAATTAGATTGTTTCTTTCCAAACAGCATAATTTTGTGAGGGGAGAAAATAAAGTTTAGCTATTTTTAAACTGTCTTAGACTGTTTGCAGTAAATGACATATGTTAGTGTGATCCGGTGTGGCTGTAATTTATGGCTGCAATTCAATCCGTCAGTAAGTGGGAACAATGAAGAGAGTAAAGGGCATGTATGAAATAGGAGGAGAGTGATTGAATGAGAGCAATGAATAGTGTGGTTAGTCTTTCCTAGCTCAGGGTTTTGTTGGTTTATATGCTGATATATGTCCACCAAAAAAAGTGTTCATAACCAAGTTCTCATGCCGTGAGTGGACACACTAATACTCACCACCTAAAGCAACCCTCAACAAATCCACTCCCTTATGCATGTTTTTCAAGTTGAAAACCAGACGGCAAGTGCTGTGACAGCATGGTGCTTGTAGATACTGCAGGAGCTTCTTCTTAAGAGGGAAGAGAGCAGGAAGCTTCTCTTGCCTGCCCCTAGTCCCATCCCAAAGATCTGCAAGCATTGTTAATACTTGGGCTTCACAGAGGGCAGAATTCTGTGCTGTGGATCTTAACTATTTTGTTCTTGGTATGTGCCTGGAGGGCAGAATGATGGAGTTGAGGTGTAGATCTGATAATTTTTTGTCATATATGTTCTTCACAGTCACTTTCCCAAATCCAACATTGAAACCATTAAGCCAGAAATTAGTGCAATATTCTCCCTCCGGCCTCCTTCTGTAGGTGCTCATGGCACTACCTCATAGAAAGGCGAGTCTAACTATTAATTCACTGTACATTCATCCCTTCTAACAGGGACCTATGCTCTCACTCCTCTGCTTCACTGTTAGCACTGTGGTATCTGTATGTTATTAGGGGAAAAGATGCTGCAGCATTAGCAAATGTTGTTCTGGAGCTACAAATGTAGCTATTGTTTGTGGCTCAAATCCCAGCAAGCAGGAAAAAACCTTGCTACATTAACTGGAAAGACAGATGAAGCAGACAATAATAAGTGTTGATGGCATGCTATTATTCTGTTTATAGTGACATTTCATGTATCTCTATAAGGCTTATTTATGGCAGCTGTACAGAAGCCATGTGATGTGGCCAGAAATGTTTTATGGAGAAATTTCATGTGACATGATTACCCACTAATGTCTTAACCACAGAGTTTCACATGAGAGAGAAAATCACAATTGAGTTTGGGAAATGGGTAACTGTTACAAAAGGTGTGTGTGTATATATGCTCAAATGAACGTTTATATGCATATATTGATATATAACATAGTAAATTGTACGAATGTAAATACCATATACAAAGATAAAATTTTCAATATTTCAAATGAAACTGAAGGAGAAGTTTGGCAATTCTCTAGTGAGTTAGATTGAATCTGGAGGATTATTTTTTATCACACTTCCAAAAGTCTGTGCTGTCACAGTGGAATTTCTGTCTTGCAGAAATGTTACTGGAGAAGGGATATTTTCACAGTCAAAGAGTTTCACTGCAAGGTGTTGCCTTCTTTCATTTTCAGGGAAAAATTCTCAGATGAGAATTGACTATATTTAGCTTTTTTACTTTGGCAGAAAATGAATATATAAATATACATTTACTTGTATTTTTAATTTGTTCTCCAGGTATTCCAGATTGCATATGTTATTGTGAAAGCAGCTAATGCGCCTCGACCTGGGAACTGGATTTTGGAGCGTTCACTGGATGGTGTTTACTATCAGCCATGGCAGTATTATGCCATAACAGACACAGAATGCCTGACACGTTACAACATTCATCCCCGCAGAGGGCCTCCATCCTATGCAAAAGATGATGAAGTTATATGCACTTCGTTTTACTCCAAGATCCACCCACTGGAGAATGGAGAGGTAAGATGGGAAATATACTGCAGCCAACATGCCAACAGAAATATTGTTTTGCTTAATTGATAAGTATATGCCTTGTGCAGACAATGTTTTTGTATAGGCTTTATATATGAAGGATGGAGCTCTTTTCTTATATGTGCATCAATAGAGGTTGCCATATACCCCATTAAACAGGGAGAAATACTCACTAATAAACACATGCAGTGTGAAGGAACTCTGTGGTCCTTAATCTCTAGTACTTGCAGGCAACTCCTTTGTAGTTAAGATAGGCAACAATTCCAATAAGAAGCAGAGAAAGATACTGGGCGAAACTCCCATTGACTTCAGGGGGGTTATGATTTCACTTGCTGCATTTAAATATACCACTTGCAGCTGTAAGCCACTTTCCCCTTCCTTTTTCTTATTTAAGTGGCAAAAAATTTATATTTTTCACAGAATAAATGTTCATATTTATTAATCTTACTCACATCCTGATAATTCACAAAAATAAAATGACAGTTGGATATGGAATAGATTTTAGGCAACACATTTTGGTGTACATTAGTCACAGGGTGGGAAATTTCTCTCTTACTGTACTGACTGTGATTGCTGAGTAATTCCTGACTACCATTCAAAATCTCATGCTTTTTTTTTTTTTTAAACCAAAACTGTTCTTGAGTTTGTGGAGCTTCTGAACTTTCAGCTTTTCTTCTTTCATACTCCATGCCTATTTCACTTCAACTATGCACCTCACTACATATCCCTGCTAGATTTTTTTTTCATGAACAGAATGACATAGCTCCTAGTTATGGGTGACTTTATTGTATTTTTTTTTCAGTAGTTTACATTTCAAGGCCCACAGATTCCTGACATGCTGCAGTCAGGACTGCTGTCAGCAAACTTTTCACAATTCTGGACAATACTCAGAACATGCATGTTTCTGAGCTCTCAAAATGCTATCTGTCTAGAGACACAGTGGCTTGAAATGTGAAACTGGGAGGCTGGAGGTCTGCATTGAAGAATTTGTGTATTTGCAAGCTTATATTTCTGTGTGCAAGTACCATGATTATCTGTGCAAATTGGGAGTTGAGGCATGGAAACAGCCATTTCTAATGCAGTTTCAGAAATAATACATATAAATGTAGGCATGAAAATGTACACAATTTCTTGCAAGGAAATTTTCAAAAGGACCCGAATCTGCCCTTCTAGCATGTGGAATCGGATACACACAAGATACAACTCAAGACATAGACACCATTTGTGTTCTCTTTTCACATGAAGTAGAGTGTACACATGTAAAATGTAACACTTGGCTATGCAAATGACAGTGCTAAAAACTGTGTGTGTACAGATGTCATATTTCTAAAATATTTATGAGTAAGTCCAGGGAGTGAATAGGGGATTTGAAGCAGCAATTTTACTAAGATAGAAATTTCAGACAGTTTCCTTTGGTGAGAACATTTGTATAGTTAAAACTAATGCCACCAGAACCCTTTCAGCATCTCAGTTGATTTAAATTCATTCTCTTTCTTTAAGGGCATAATTCTCTTCTGAGACTTGCAGGCAAATCTTGACTCCAATCTTCTGCTGTCCTGTGAATGAAATTGTTCAATCAGATCCATGCCTCCTTATGTCCTTAACGTGGATTAAACTGGTTTCAGTGAACTATGGGCTCCTAAGTAACGAAGGGCCCCAGTTCAGTAAAGCACTTAAGTATGTACTTAACTGTAAGCACATGCTTAATTAAGTCTTATTGACTTCAATGGAACTTAGCCCATGCTTAAAGTTAAGCACTTGCTTTAGTTCTTAGTCTTTAAGGTGCCACAAGTCTTCCTTTTCTTTTTGGGTTCCATGTGTTGTTAGATTGGGATGTTGCATCAAAGCTCATAAAGAACACATACCAGTGATTATGATACTTAAACAGGGCTCTGATTTTAAGAAAAGGAGACTTGGTTTGAACAAGGAATGTATTCAGCATAATGTCCAGCTAAAGCAAATTCTTATCCAAAAACTCTAGTCCACTGGAGGCATGATAATAAAAACATCCCTCTGGAAACTTATCTCACACTTTTAAAGTATCCTTCCATGATGCAGATCTATATGGAAAGTCAACTATCTCCAGTGGAGACCATCAAGTGGAGTTTTCACAATCATTGGAAGAGTTTGATTCCATGTAAATTAATAAACATAACCTGTAACCTACACAAACCTGTTACCATAGGTGTAACGTCAATCTTATCTGTTTTATTAGTACAGACAGCACTATGAAATAAATGGCAGCCACAGTCAGTTTTTTAATATTCGGTCAAAACACACATGAGGTGAGAAACAATAAAATAGAAATCCATACAGACATCATAGTTAGCCATATCTTACATTGCAGAAGATTTGATTGGACCCTAGTCTTTCAGCAGAGCTAAATATGTGCATTACTTATTTCACTTTCAGTGTAGAACTGTGATTTATATACTAGTTACTGAAAGCCAAGATTTGCATGCATGACTAGTGATTGTGGGTATCTTCATATCTTGGTGACCTGCTTGGGATACCTTGAAGGAGCCTGATTTTCAGATAGTGTGTACTCATCATCAAGCCTGATTACGTGCAGGATGTGTATGGATCTACAAGACACTGCCAAAGTCAGATACATGCTCTGGTATTACACATTTGTTCATAGCAACATTTGAAATTAAAACTGGGCAAATTAGAGGGGGAAACTCCTGTGTTGGAGCCCTTTTAGTGAACGTTATCTAATATATACATATATTTTAGTCAATGAGTTTATTGATGATAATATTAATAGAAATGGCAATTTTAAGTAATTATTAGCTATATTAATCAAAATGCATATCTGGAATTCATTAACATGGTATTTGCTCCAGAAAGAAGTTTCTAAGATATATTCTCAGCCAATCAGGGAATAGAAACAGTACCACATGACTTGTCTTCAAGCCAACCTAACCAACACAGCTGAATTTCATATAACAGATTCTTTACAATCAGGTGCTTGTAAACAATCACTCTACAGGGCAAGAATTATTTACAGAGATGATTCAGTGACTAATTTTTTTAACAAATAAATTTGAGAAAATCAAAACCTGCTCAAGAACATTTTATGAACAATAAAATGGGCGAAATCAATTAAATTAGTTACTTGATCAGCTCTATTTGAATAGCACTCTGAAAAATGTTGACTTAAGTAAATGCATTGATACCACTGAAACAGTCAAACCCACCACACATTCTGAAGTCATTGGGACTTATGGCTTGTAGGAAAGGTAGAATGTTAGTCACACTCCACTGCAAAGACTGTGACATTTTGTTTTTGGTTACTGCATGTTTCTCAAAGAACATCAATACATGAACAGACCTGCAGTATGGTGAAAGCTTATTTTCAGTATGAAAATATATCTTCCAATATCTTAAATATTATCAGATGAGGATTTCTTTCACATATATATTAGAGGATGACATGTTCTTTATTGTTTTTATAAAGCAGGTTCCTTGATTTAATGTTAATTTGTTTGACATCAGTCAGGAAACTAAAAATACATCTGGGGGACATATGAGGAGTTCTGTGACTGCCATGTTTTAGTGTGGGGAGAGGGCCATAAGAATTAGCCCATGTCTCTTTTGGTTTCATGACATTTCCATCTTTCCTTGCTGGGATTATTACTTTTGATTTCCTCAGATCATCATTAGTCTGAGAACTAAAAATTAATAGTTAACATAGTGATTTTTTGCTTCATTTCCCCAGCACAGAAGTCTATTATTTACATTTAATTTGTTCCTTTTTTACTGCAATCACTTTCTTGTTTTTCTCGACTGTAACCAATGCCTGGACTTCTGTTTGATTCTATTAGGTAGATATTGGTCTCGGGAACATTATCTTAGTGCCACTTATTCTTCTGAGTGGTAGCCGTGTTAGTCTGTATCAGCAAAAAAACAAAACAAAACAAACAAAAAAAACCAAGGAGGACTTGTGGTACCTTAGAGACTAACAAATGTATTTGGGCATAAGCTTTTGTGGGCTAAAACCCACTTCATCGGATGCATGCAGCAGAAAATAATTAATTGGAATTAATTTGCAAACTGGACACCATTAAATTAGGCTTGAATAAAGAATGGAAGTGGATGGGTCATTACACAAAATAAAAACTATTTCCCCATGCTGTTTTTCACACCTTCTTGTCAACTGTTTGAAATGGGCCATCCTGATTAAAACGACAAAAGTTTTTTTTCTCCTGCTGATAATAGCCCACATTAATTGATTAGTCTTGTTACAATTGGTATGGCAACACCCACTGTTTCATGTTCTCTGTGTACATATATCTTCCTACTGTCTTTTCCACTGCATGCATCCGATGAAGTGGGTTTTAGCCCACGAAAGCTTATGCCCAAATAAATTTGTTAGTCTCTAAGGTGCCACAAGTACTCCTCATTTTTTTTACTTATTTTTCTGTGGACTGTATAGAGTTTTCATCTATTTTGATGTTTTAAACGGCATGTATAATGTCACATACTGTACGTTTTATGCTTAGACACATGAAATTTTCCCATTGTATCCTGTCAGTCTTTGCTAGATGCTCCTAAGTTAATCTGAAGAAGAATGGGAACTGAGGTGCTTCTGCCTCTCACTATAACTCATTAAATATTTTAGACATTTTCATCAAAAATGACCTTTTCTGCTGGGCTGCAGCTTGATTTGGGGTGGAGCGAAATGGGGAAGTCATCTCTTTTCACCTCCACCTACAGAAACATTCCCTCAAGCACAGACAGATGTTTCAAGCCTATTATAGGGAACAGGCAGAAACTTAGAGGAAAATAAATTGTTTTGCCATTTTCTACATAACCAATTGTCTCTGCAAGCAGAGCTTGCAACTCTAATCTAGTGAAAAAGGGCGGAGAGAGCTCTACTCAGGGTCTGTGCCAAAAGCATTCAGGGTCACTGGTGAAGCAATAAGAGGGATAACTCATCATCCAGGAGGCTGCATGCTTCCTCATTGGGCTTTCAGCCTTTGGCA